GAAAACTTTACAAAAACTTTACTTTCTTCTTGAAAGAAGAACTATAATGGGTAAATTTAGTAGTTCAAGCTTTGTGCCTGAGAACATTCCGAATCCACACAGCTTGGGCAGCAGAAAGCCATAGGTTGGTTGGGTTTTTTTTGTTTTTTTTTTTTTTGTTTTTTTTGCCAAAGACAAGAGTCTTGATCTGTACCCTGTCTCTACAAAAAATAAAAAAATTAGCCAGCCTGGTGGTACACACCTGTACTCCCAGTTACTCAGGAGGCTGAGGCAGGAGGATCACTTGAGCCCCAGGAGTTGGAGGTTACAGTGAGCTATGATCACACCACTGCACTCCAGCTTGGATGACAGTGAGACCTTATCTCTAAAAGGCACAAAAAATTAAAATAATTAAATATGAAAGAAAAAATAAAGTAGCTATTATATAGATATATCCGCAGACTTAAAGAAAGATATAGGCATAATGAGTGAACAGATGGAGAATCTCAGTGAAAAATACAAACTATAAAAAGAATTAGGGATTCTGGAAAGATGAGAACAGAAGTATAGTTTTTCAAATCTTTCCAAATTGTCAAATAAAAATATAGCAACTAGATAGCAAAACTAAACACTAGTTAATACGGTATCATAACAAACCTCAAAATTCATAAACATTAGTCCACACCAGTATGCAATTAGCAAAATCCAGACTGTGATAAACTCTGTATGTCAAACAGCCTGGATTCTTCAACAGAAATTACAAGGAAATGAAATGGAGGCAGATCCTGTTATCTAAAAGAGATTTTAAAGGCATATCAAATTTATAATTAAATGAGCAGGAAGAAAATTATCTTGGGATGCATATTTGAGTGATAAAAATATTTTTAAAAACACAAGGAATGGGCCGGGTGCGGTAGCTCACGCCTGTAATCCTAGCACTCTGGGAGGCCAAGGCGGGAGGATCGCTAGAGATCAGGAGTTCGAGACCAGTCTGAGCAAGAGTAAGACCCCGTCTCTACTAAAAATAGAAAGAAATTAGCTGAACAACTAAAAATATATAGAAAAAATTAGCC